GTTTAATTTTAAAATCACCTATTTTTCAAGATATAGAGAACATACCTTGATCCTTCATATTTGGTGGGAGCTTTCATTGAAAAATTACATAGACATGTTCTCCCAAATTTACCTTTTCATGCCCCATTAGTTTCCTCTTTGTAGTGCAAAGTTCTTTTAAAAATCGAGCATACCTTGGTACTTGTCGAATTACTTCAATAAGAGGTATGTTGACTTGAACTTTTTGGAACACCTCTAAGATATCCTTTTCTTCAACTCTTTTATCACGCTTCATCAAACTTGATGGGAAGGATGGTGGCATGATTTCATGAGAAGAAAGAGAATGATGTGAGTTAGACGTACCTTGTATTTCTGGAGGTGGTGTTTCCTCTTGTTCTTCTTGATGTGCGTCTTTTTCTGCTGGAACTTCGGGTGAAATAACTTTTCCACTTCTGAGTTTGATAGCACTAGCATTCTATCTCTGATTTAACTCTGTTTGAGAAGGTAGTCTTCCTTGTGATTCCAATTTTCCCATAGTTTGAGCTAGTCGGCTTACTTGGTTATCTAACTCTTGAAGATGTGTCTCAATTCGACTATGGAACTTTTCTTGGGATGCAATCATCTTTTCTTTTGAAATTGCTAACTTTCCTATGAGTTCCTCCAATGATGATTTTTGCGTTTGCTGTTGAGGAGGAGACCTTGGTTGATAAGTTGGTCTTTGATTTGCCGCATAGCTGAAGTTTGGGTGGTCTCGCCATCCTGGATTATAAGCATTATTTTATGGGTTGTATTGTATTTATGGAGGACCTGGAAAGTTTCCTATGGCATTGACTTATGCATTGCCTCCTTCTTGTATCAGTGAGCAATAATATGTCGGATGGTCTAGCTTTGTGCATATTCCACATGCTTTTGTTGCTCCAGATTTTCCTACAACAAGTGAATTAACTACTTCAGTTAATTTGTCTAACTTATTCTCAAGGGAAAAAGTGCTTATCTCGTGAACCCGTCGGCTGGGTTCACTTGAAAACTGTTGAGAGTTGGCTGCCATGGTTAAAATCAATTCCCTTGTTGTTGTTGGGGTCATGTTGACTAATGCTCCTCCACTGGCGGCATCCACCATTTTCATTTCCATTGGCAAAAGGCCTTCATAAAAGTATTGAAGTAATGTTTGCTCACTTAATCCGTGTTGTGGACAACATGCGCAAAGCTTTTTAAATCGGTCACAATAGTCATAAAGACTTTCTTCTCTATTTTGTTGAATGGAAAGAATGCTCCTTCGTAACTCGCTTGCTTTAACCACCGGAAAGAACCTATCAAGAAAAATTCGATTCATGTCAGCCCATGAATTAACTAAATTTGGAGGTAAATAAAATAACCAATCTTTATCCAAGTCGGCTAAAGAGAAAGGGAAAGCTCTCAATTTAATTTGATCTTCGGTAACTCCCTGTGGTTTCATGCTAGTGCAAACCATGTCGAATTCAAACAAGTGTTTGTACGGATCTTCGGTGGGAAAGTCGTGAAATGTGGGAATAATATAAATAAGTCCCGTCTTTAATTGAAACGGAGTCCCGTCACTAGGAAAATTGATGCATAATGGCGTCTGAGTGACAGGAGCTGTGGCTAGTTCTCTGATCGTTTGTTCTTCTTCTACCATCGGAATGTTGTATGTGTCTGCTTCAGAGTCCGGATTTGATTCTGTTTCTGATTTCTGCTCTTGTTCTTCTTGTCTTTTTCTATTTTCTCAAAACGTTTGTGTTTGGATTATTCGTGCTCGTGCTTCGATCTCCGGATCTAGATCTACTAATTCACTTGGGTTTCTTCTGGTCATAAATCAAAAACTAGAAAAATAAATCAGTACTTGCCGTTAGTCCCCGACAACGATGCCAATTTGATAACCGTCGTTTAGCTATCAAAATAATTTCTGACTTCTTAATAAATAAAAAGGAAAAGGTAGTATAGAGAAGCAGGTTTGATCCACAGGGACTATGGTTTTTATGATTTAATAAAATTGTTTCTTTATTTTAGGAAAAGATAGAATTCCAGGTAAAGTTGAAAAGATATAATAAAATAAATAATTATAAAAAAAGGAAAAATAATAAAATAATAAATAGTAATAGTAATAAATATAAAAGGGGGATTTTTAAAAGTTGTTTTTAAAATAAAATGTAAGAATTAAATAAAAGAAAAATAATTAAATAAATAAATTAAAGAGATTAGGATAAAGAGAAACTTATTGTGAAAGAAGCCTCAGACTTCAGCTTCGCCTCAAATTCCTCGGATCATCGAAACTTATTTTTACTTCAAGATTCACGTCGGTTACTACAAGAACAATTCTTCTCTTCCAACTCGGATTGCGTCGTTTCAACAATGACTGATTCTGATCTCAGTTTCCTTTTAGCAAACAATTTTGCTAAGTGTGTTCTCGCGAAGTTTAATATGCTTCAATAAGCAAATCCTTCTTCAAACATTAACCATAACAATATCCGGACCAATGTCGAAATCGTTTTGATTTGAAAAGTAAGCTCATAAAACAGAGAGAATCCGAAGCGATTTAAGTACCTTACAATTCTCTCGTTTGGAATTGAGTCTTCGCTTTAGCCTTCGGCTTAAAAGAAAATTAGCTAAGCATGACCAAATTCATACTTAGCATATTAGAAAAGTATGCGAAAATAGAGAGAAAGCTAGAGAGAAAAGGAAGATTTTATTCTCAAATGAGAGAGATATATTTCTAGGCTCACCCTTAGAGGATATTTATAGCCTTCAAATTCCTAAAAACAAGCTAAAACATCTTAAATCCTAATTAAAACACTTAAAACTATTTGAACTATAATACATAAAAAAATAATATAATATTCTAAATCCTAATTAAAATACTAAAACATATTTAAACTAAAATACCTAAAACAAAGATAAAATATAAAAATAATATCCTAAAACTTAATTAAAATACTAAAACCTATTTAAACTAAAATACAAAGATAAAATATAATGTTTAAAATATTATTCTAAACTTGAGTTTAATTCAAATCTGAATTCCAACCAGCTTTGATTCCGAAAGTAAAAAAAACTATAGAATCGTGTCCTTTTTGTGCAATTTCCAGAATCTTACGTCTTGTACAGAAAATGAATTAAAATGAACAAATAAGTCAAAAAAATCAATGATTAAGGAGTAATTTAAAAGTAAAATATTAACTAAATTAAGCACTTATCGGTTATTTGCGACACATGTATCTCTACATGCTTCATAGTAAGAGCGAAGCATTAGAAGCCTTTAAAGTTTTCAAGGTTGAAGTAGAGAAACAATGCGATATGCAAATTAAGATCGTGAGAACTGATAGAGGTGGTGAGTATTATGGTAGATATATCAAAGATGGACAATCATCTGGTCCAAGTTTCTTCACGATAACGATATAGTTACCCAATACACCATGCTAGGATCACCAGATCAAAATGGTGTTGCGAAAAGAAGAAACTAAAATTTAATAGATATGATGGGAGGTGTGCTTAGTAGCTCTAAGCTACCTAAGTATTTATGGGTTGAAGCTCTCAAAACGGTTATGTATATATTAAACCGAGTTCTAACAAAGGTTGTCCCAAAGACACCTTTTGAGTTGTTTAAATATTGGAAACCGAGTTTGTGACATATACACGTGTGAGGATGCCCATATGAAATGAGAATTTATAACTCACAATAAAAGAAACTGGATGCGAAGACCATTAGTGGGTATTTCATTGGATATGCTGAAAGGTCCAAGGGATACAGATTCTATTGTCCATCATATAACACTAGAATTATGGAATCAAGAAATGCAAAATTTCTTGAGTATGTCTCAATGAGTGGGAGTGATCTACCTAAGAACTCAATCCACTTTAAGTGAGAGATTGGTTATCATACAGAGTACCCCTCAAGTACAATTGGGTGTTGAACAACCAATCAATGAAATTCCATAAGATACTGAAAATATTCAAGTAGATCAAGTTGTTCAATAAATTACAGAAATTACTGAACAACCAGTTGAACAACATGATCCATAAGAAAATGTTGATTCAACATTGAGAAGATATAGAGAAAGAAAATCAACAATTTCAGTGACTACATTGTGTAGCTACAATAGTTTGAATTTAATGTTGGAGCTAAAAAAGATCCCGAGTCATTTTCACAAGCCATGAGCTGCAATGAATTGAAATTATGGTATAATGCTATGAAAAATGAGATGAATTCCATGAAAAGAAATGATGTTTGGGATCTTGTACCATTGCCTGATGGTGTAAAAGCCATTGGATATAAATGGGTCTTTAAAACAAAAAGAGACTCAATGGGTAACATTGAAAGATATAAAGCAAGACACGTTGCAAAGGAATTCACTTAGCGTGAAGGAATCAATTACACTGAGACTTTTAGTCCAATATCTAAGAAAGATTCCTTACGCATCATGTTAGCATTAGTAGCTCATTTTGATCTTGAGTTACAACATATGGATGTGAAAATTGCATTTCTCAATGGTGACCAAGAAGAAGAGGTATATGTGAAACAACCTGAATGATTCTCCTCTAGTGACGGTGAACACTTGGTATTCAAGTTGAAAATGTCAATATATTGATTGAAACAAACCTCGCAATAGTGGTATTTAAAATTTCATGAAGTTATCTCTTCATTTGATTTTATTAAGAACATCATGGATTAATGTATATACCAGAAGGTTAGTGGGAGTAAAATTTGTTTTCTTATCCTATATGAGGATGACATTTTACTTGCAATTAATGATAAGGGTATGCTACATGAGGTGAAACAATTTCTTTCTAAAATTTTTGATATAAAAGATATGGGTGATGCATTTTATGTCATTGGCATTAAGATTCATCGTGATAGACATCGAGGTATCTTATGTCTATCTTAAGAAATCTATATCAATAAAGTTTTACAAAGATTTCAGATGAAAGATTGTTCACCTAGTGTTGCTGCTATCATGAAGGGTGATAATTTCCATTTGAACTAATGCCCGAAGAACGATTTTGGAAGCATGGTGTATGCTCAATTTTGTACAAGACCTGACATTGCATTTGTCGTTGGAATGTTGGGAAGGTATCAGAGTAATCTTGGTATTGACAACTGGAAAGCTGCAAAGAAAGTTTTGAGGTACCTAAAAGGGACAAAAGACTACATTCTTAAATACAAACAATCAGATAGTTTGGAGGTGATTGGTTACTCTGATTCAGACTTTGATGGTTGTGTTGGTTCATATAAATCAACATTGGGCTACATATTTATGTTTTCCAGTGGAGCTATATCTTGGAGAAGTGTCAAACAAACCTTAACTGCTACTTCCACTATGGAGGCTGAGTTTATTTCGTGTTTTGAGGCTACCTCACATGGAGTATGACTAAAGATTTTCATTTCTAGACTTATACTTTGGACTCAGTTTTTAGGCCATTACTAATATATTGTGACAATTCTACTGTTGTCTTTATGGCTAAGAATAACAAGAGTAAAAGTCGAAGTAAACACATTGACATTAAGTATTTGGCCATAAGAGAAGGTGTTAAAGAAAAGAAAGTGGTCATTGAGCACATTAACACTGAGCATATGTTAGTTGATCCTTTAACTAAAAGCATGTCACCACATAAATTTAAGGATCATATTGTCACTATGGGACTTGTTTCCACCTAGTAATTTTTCGTTGTAAGAACGATTTTAATGAAACTTATTAAGTTTAATATTTCTCATTTTGTTTTGTGCACGTTAATTTTAATTATTTTGAGAAATATTACTAAAGTTTGGACCTATAATAAACATTGGGTTTATTCATTAAGAAATTTGGCTAAGTGTTGAGACATGATACATTATGATACATGGAAGATATTACTCAACTATAAGAGGAAATATCGCTATGATTCATGGATTATGTTTTGACTTTTAAATTATGTTGGGAAACATGAACCAAGCGGGAGAATGAAGACAATTTATTAAAATTGCATTAAGTGATTAGTTGAGATCCCCTTAATGTGGTTCATGGACTCTCACTATGCATGTTCGTGTAGCAGTTCCATTTTGGAACGTGGGATATGGGGTTATTTTAGGTGGTTTTTTATGGTAAGAACCCCTATAAATACCCATCTAGCTTAGGTCCCTCAGCACCAACACATCACATTCCAAAACATACTATTTGAGAGCATTTGAAAATATACTCCATCTAAGTGAGGTTTTTGAATGCTTAAAAGATCCTTGGCGTTTATAGCTTTTGTGCAGCCAAGTTCGAAGTATTCGACGGTGGTTCGTGATGGTTCAAGATGGTCCGAACAAATTTGACAGTTGTGCAATCAAATCCCGGGTTTCGACATATGGTGTAAGCAATGGTTGCAGATATTTATAACGATTTTTTCCGCTGCGTTTATGCTCATTGGGTAAAAGTATGTCCAACATAGGTGGCTTTGAGGCCATCAAATTCAAATACACCGAGTGTTGTATGAATGGTATGATCTCCTCCCAATGCCAATCTCTATTTTCCTTATGAGAGAAGACAGATTCACATAATGTGGTGGCTGCCTACCTTGGGTTAGTCGAGACACATGAAGGGGACCCAACTCTCCCAGCCACGGGTCATCCCAGAAGTTCACAGTGAGGCCATCTCCTAAGTTCCAAACATTTCTTCCTCGAACCTCATTCCATATAAGGGCAAGACCCCATCATAAGCGTGAGCAATTATTCCTAATGATTGATTCAAGAAGAGCTTCAACCATTTTGTACTTACTTCGAGGTACCCAGGCCCAAAGCTGGTCGAGATTTCTCACTAAACGGAAGCCAACTTTCATAAGCTTGGCATCATTCTGAACGTGTAACCTTCGAAATCCAAGCATGTCCTTTTGTTTCGGTGAACAAAGAATATCCCACCGAACCAGATGCACACTCTGTTTATCCTCAGTGCTTCCACAAACAAAATTTCTGATTAGGCATTCGATCTCCTCACACACCCTTTTAGGCAAATAACAAGTTTGCATCGCATAAGAAGGGATGGCTGCTAACACTAATTTTGCCAACACAATGTGACCTGCCATGGAAAGGTATTTAGCTCTCTACCCTGAGAGACGAACTCTGACTTTTTGAACAAGATAACGATAAGTCGCACATTTTACACGGCGATGCAAAAGAGGAACCCCAAGGTACCTTCCCAATTTATCAACAAGGGTGGATTGAAAGTCTTGACTAATATTCATCAACATTTTTTGAAAAGAAAATATTAGTTTTTGAGAGACTGAATTTATGCCCATAAGCATCACAGAAAACACCGATAACTTTCCCAATGACATCAAGCTGATCAAGGGAAGCTTCCACGAAGAGAACAAGGTCATTGGCGAAGAACAGGTGAGAGAGCTTCGGGCCACCACGAGATAAACAAATTGGTTTCCATAACTTGTCATCCATTGTTCGCTCAATTTCTTGTGAAAGCCTTTCCATGCACAAGACAAAGAGAAAAGATGATAAAAGATAGCCCTGACGGACTCCTCGCGACAGTTTGAAGGATTCTGTCATGATTCTATTCCATAAGATCTGAGTGGAAGCAGATGATACACAACACATAATCAGTTTTTGTAAATCCGGGGGCCAACCAATGTCAAACAGGGTGTCATCAATAAATGACCATTCCAAGCGATCATACGCTTTCTCCAAATCAACCTTGATCGCCATCCAACCCTTCATTCCCTTTTTTTGTTTCATCGAGTGCACAACCTCTTGAGCGACCATTATGTTATTCGAAATAGCCCTGCAGGAATAAAGCTAGTTTGGGTCTTTGAAATCCATCGTGGTAGGAATGGTTTCAATCGGTTAACGATCACCTTCGTGACAATCTTATACAAGACCAGGCTAATTGGCCGAAATTGAGATAAATGCTCTGGGTTCTCAATTTCTTTATCTTTTTATTTTTTTCTCTCATTTTTTTTTGTTTCTAATAAGTTTATCTTTGTGACACGACATTCTTTTTTATGACACATTTTATATATCTTTTGGCACGTTTTCAATTTTTTCGATCATTTGACCATTATTGTAGTCTATTTTTTTCTTAGGATTAGATTTGACGTCGTCGCGACTAATCAAGATGACACAAATTTGTTATCCCATTAATCTTCTATGTTTTAGATCTTCAAATTGAATTTGGATAGGCAACCTACATTCATAGATAGTTTTCTCACAATATTTGACTTTGATTTGCATTCGTTTCTTTCAGTAGTTTAATTACATGTTGTGGTTCATATTCCTTAGTAGTTAAATCTATTCATATTTATCTACTATTTGGGTTTTTTTAATGAGTTTTTCACTTTTTCCTTATATGTCCCTAATATCATCTTAAGTAACTAATTTTTATGTTAATAATTATAGAGGAATATCTTAATTATATGTTTCGTTTATAATTATAGCCGTAAATCTAATTGTAATTTTATATTTTTCCTTCTTAATAAAATTAACTATTTTTATCTATTGTTAAGGATAAACCACCGGATGAACTGACTGCTCTCCTCCAAGCTGATATCCATGGAATTGAATTGGTAGACTACAAAACGCGTTTCTTATGTGCCAACAAATATATATATATATATATTTGTATTATTAATTTTTTTAATAAAAGATAAAAAGAATATCACGAAATAGCTAGTCTAACGTCAAAACAAGACTTGCGTCGGTTGGTGTCTCGACTTGCAACAATGTCGCAATCCTCCGGTTTAAAAATTTATTTAAATCGGTTTTAATAAAATATATATATATATATATATATATATATATATTCTATTTTTTAAATAGATTCTTTCATTATTATTAATCATTTTAGTTTATCGTTGTCTAATCGACAATCAACAATTAAATCAATTGAATTGAAAATTAATGATCTTATTGATTCAATCACCTATAATTTTTTTTAGTATTTATAAGTCTATATCAGCAAACTCATGTTTAAATTGAGTCACCGACAAGTTTGCTTCAACCCAACTCTCTTGAGAAAAAAAAATCAGAACAATCATAAGCTAAGTTCCTCTATATGTAAGAATTGCATATAAAATTTGATTCCATGTATCAGGAACACCAGCTAGGCACCAATGGCTACAATCATTTCCCATAAGACCACTATAAATTGAGGGGTGGCCGTCTTTCCTCAGCTGCGATAGTCTCGTTATGTCGAGCAAAACAACTGGTGTCGACATGTTTTTCAACATTTCGTTTATGATCGTTACTGCCGTCGGCGGACCGCCTTCATATGTTGAATCGGTAGCCGGTCTGATCTGACCTTTGCAAGTTAATGATTTGGTCCCGTTCCATTCCTCGCCACTATCGGATGAACATAACAAATATCATATTGTGTGAGACAAAGTTCGTAACAAATCATTTCGAATTGTTCAATCAGATCATATTCTTTATGTATTATTTTGATCGAAAAACTATAATTTGAATCTTGATACTTATGAATATATAAATAGTGAATAAGGGAAGGGGGAGAGAGCTAAGCTTACTTGAAATGAGTTGGAGAAATGCCTTGGAAAAATACTTGGGTAGTTGTAGTGTTAACATTGGAATCCACCCATTTCGACCATGTTGTTAGCCCCTCTCTATATGCAACCATACGGTCCATATCTTTCATCACTTTTCCTCTTGACTCAATGAAATCCCACCTAATATTCATATCATTACACGAATTTAATTTAATTCAAATTTAAATTAAATCGATCAAGAATCTGTCAAGTGATTTCAGCGGTAAAAAAAATATTATTCTTCCTAAAGTTTTTAGGCTCAAACAGCTACATTTGCAAGGTGTGTGTACGTTATCAATTGATTAAGAAAATTATAAACATATATTATATTGTAATCACCTCATACGATTAAAAAAATTATTTATATAGAAGTTGTAATTTTTCAATTCAATTTAATTCGACTCGAACAGAGATAACGAGATTATATAGACAGTGAAGTTGGAGCATAAATCTATTTGGAATGCAATTATAAAATAGGGTTTTAAATTACTCAAACTATGTGTTTTCTTACGGTTGTTTTCTTCCTTTGTGGAGCCACCAATGCCAAGTGTTGAAGATGAGGAAATCGTATCCTTTCCATGATTCGCCGTTTTTAATGGAATCAAGCTTCAAAACGGTGCCCATCTTTTCTTCCACAATATCAACAAGAAACGCATTGCGTGATAGCATCAATGAAACTTCATACTCCTGCAATTTTATTAAATTTACATTTGATGCATTCAATAACAGACGTAAAATTTTATGTTAAAGACGAAATATAAAAGTCTAGTGGTAAAAACATATTATTAATATAAAAAATACAGAAAAATATCTCAATTATATGAGAATTTAAATTTTTTAGAAGGCAACTGCCTGTTTAACTTTCCCTCGATCTATCTCTAGATACGTCTAATATTCGAATCAGGAAATAACAATGGCTACTCACCGGTAAATAAAAGGTGGAAAGTTGGCCTTCTCTATGAATAGTGTAGTTTGATTGTGGCAAAGAAGAATGCAACATGCACGTGAGAGACTGCCATTGATTCAAGCTTAGTGAGTCCCCTATGAACATGATTTTCTTCCCCTTCAACTTTCTAAAGAATTCCTCAGCATTAAATCTGGAACCAAATATATAAAAATCAGAAACCCTAAATTATTATTCTACGTACCGTCAATGTGTTAAATAATTATATAACAATAAAAGAGTTGAACTACCTTGTAATGTTATAATTGTATCAACAGACCTAAACCTAAAATTCAACTAATCTTTGCATAGTTCTTTCCCTGTTATCATGAAGAAGATGAACTTAACTTACCTTGGCAGCATACAAACACTTGGCTTCCATCTGTATCGGAGATAGAGTTGATCGGGTCGACCGTTGGCTTGGCAGTCGAATTCTTTTTCGATGAACGGACAATCAGAGGTGTTGTAAAGAGGGTAGGTTTGATCGAAAACCCAAGTCCCTCGGAAATAATCGCAGCCACCGGCCGCTTGTGGTTCACTGAGCCGGACCTGGTGAATGCATAAGATGAGAATCCAAGACAGGATGATCCAACAAGACCTAGGGAACCCACTTCCCATTGCAAGAGACGAGAGAAATTATATGTAAGAAGTTGGATTTCTAGGGACCAAGTGGTAGCAATTCCATGAAGAGTTTAAAAGGGTTTGTACATTATATATATTTACGAATCACAAGTTGTAAGGAAAGTTTTTCTCTCTTTCTTTTTTTTCTTTCAGTAGAGGTCAAATTGGGATCACTTTAGAGCAAAGATACCTTTTTGTTAATTATGTGATTTAATGTGTTAATTTCTTAAATAATGATATATGCTATATTTAGGGTTCGATATTTTTTTAAGATGAAATTAATTTTACGTACAAACATTGTGAATCAATTCAATGACCAATTCTTTTGTTTTCTTAATTTATAAAAATATAAATAATGCATATCTAAATATCTATATCATAAATAACGATTAAAAAATAGTATTAAGATGAAAGTTATAATATATGAAAATTTAAACCAGAACAAAATTAAATGAGACTCCCACATTATATAATCCAAATCAGAAGAAATCTAGATTGAAAATCCCAGTATGCAAGAATGGACCAAAAGAAGATGAGTAAGGATAATCGTCTCATTGAAAATTTTGAATTCTAATATATTTTATATATTTTATTTTTATTTTCTATTGATAATATGTTTTCGTCTCTTAAACATTTATAAGTTTGTTTATCTTAAAATTTTATAAATTTATCATATTAACATAAAATCATGTGTCTGTCCTACACATATTATATTTAACCTAAAACTTAAACCTTAACTAACAGAAATATTTGTTTTCAGATTTTAGGTGGACTAATTCAATCAATTTAACTAATTTTATAATATTAGAACCAAACAGATGAAATGTTCACACTACCTACATATGGCCTCCATTGCACCAAACGTAAAGGGAAATTAAATTTGCAATCATTTGTGCATAGTTAGATACTATCCTTCTAAGGAAAGCCTCCTTTTTCATGTCCTTGTGTTGTTGACAAGAATATATCAAAGTCTTGCCTTTTTTTTTCTTTCGACAAATTTCAAGCTAAATTACGATTCCAAAGTAAAGAATCTTGCTATAAATTTTATTAAATGCTTAATTATATGTGTGTGTTAGGAAAATGATGCCAGAAGATTTCCTGATATTATATATTATTCTTTCCTAATTAGTAAGTAAAAAGTGCAATTATGACACACAGGTTAGATGTTAATTAATTTTATACATTTTTCCCATATTAATTGATTTAAAAGTTCAGCCTAATAAGGAATAGAATAATCTCTTCATAAAGCAATCTAATATTAAATTATCGACGACAAAAAATTTAAGGCATCAGCCGAAAAAGAAAAGGATCAAAAGCATGACCTAAAGGTGTTGTAGTTATTCCACTTTTTATATTCAAAAAGTTTTGGAGTTAATGCTCTTTCTAAAAAGTAATCATTAATTTTTATTCCTCTATTTCCAATAATCATAGGGTTCATGGCCAAGAGTAAAGATGTCCGAGTAACACTATTTTGGAACGTAACAGTTGTGTTCAAAACAGCGTTAATGTTAATAAGGAATCAATGGGTATTTCAAGGTATATTACTTAAAAAATTGACACAATACGCCTAATCGATTGGAGTGGAAGACAATTCACAAGAAGATAAAAAATAAATTGGCTCGTATATGTCAACCCTTCCTGAGAATATGAAGATATGATAGAAAATTATGACATTGGGTATATATTAAGTATATAATGTGCATTATTTGAATGTACCCTAACTAGTATTTGGCCTCACATAGCCATCAGGCACTAGTTACTAAGGAAATCCAATGTCACATAACATCGGTACAATTCCCACTAACATACAGAATGATCTCCTGGTCCTCACATAGCCATCAGGTAGATCACAGATGAGGAACCTAGTGTCATATAGCATATGTACAATTCCCGCCTATCTTAAGCATTGGCTCGGCCGCACATAGTCTTCAAGCCAAGCTTTTAACATATCCTGATGTACTGAGCTGATGCAACTATACAAACATGTCTAAGGCCCAAAGGTCACACAACACTGACATCGCTAACCCACTCCTCGCGAGTGTTTAGGCTTCATGGTCGCTCCCGAAGTACCTCGCGCACTGACAATTTCCAACTCAAAAACTAAGGTAAGCTGACTATACTCTAGCATAGCTGGACTCACTAAAGTGAGGTTATCCTCCCACTAGTTTCTATCTCGCTCATTCTCTCATCTAGAACATTATACGAAGCTTATTAATTTGTTACTGTTGTTATTTATTAAGTTGCTCTATTCTGATTGTTACCAAAAATGCATTATGTTGCTAAAAGTATCGATACCTCTATGAGTATCGATACCAAAAAATGCATTCTGTTGTTAAAAGTATCGATACTCTTGGAAAATATCTATACTATTGGGTAAAGTATCGATACTATTGGAGAAAGTATACATACTCTTGGAATGTATCGATACTCTTCAGGAAAGTATTCATACTCTTGGAAAGTATCAATACTCTTTGCCTGAAATCCCTAATTTTGCCCTAATTCAACCAGTATCGATACTGTTCATCCCAATATCGACACTCAAACCCTAAAATGGTTTTTTTAGGCTCGAAAAACACACAAAAATCATCCTAAAGGCCATAGTTTGATTCTAAATCATGTACTAATGTTGTGGATAGTTATTTAGGATCTTAAAGAGACATCAAAACACATTCTTTACGAAAAAATTGTCATTTATGGCATGAATCAAATGTGAACCCTAAAATGCTCAACTACTAAATCTTAGCAAATTCTTGAAATTTATGAAAGTTTAACACTTCAAAGGATTATAAATACAATATCTTGATGTTTGAATCCCAAAATTGAGCTCCTTGTTTAGTCACACTCTTTTCCTTGATGATTTGAATATAAACCCCACTTTTCTTTAGCTAGGAATAAACCAAGACTTTGATTCTTTAAAACCATGTTGCAAGGGGGATTATGAACGAAAATGAAGCATGAAAAGGGTTCAAGACCTTACCTTTGAGCTATGGCTATTAGAGAAGATGAAGGAAGAGGAAATGAGGAGGATGAAATAAAGAGAAAGGATGAAATAAGATATAAAAACCCTCATCTTTAAAAATGGGGAAATTATATTTTTGGTCCTTTACCATTTTCTACTATTCAAAAACCCTTTTTTTATGGCTAATTGAGCCCAAGTCCAAACCCAATTAAGCCCAATGACTTAATTTATGAAATCCATGAGCCCACGTGCCTCTCAGGTATATCTGAAACTACTAGCCCGAAATTTGGGGTGTTACACACCCAACAACCCTATTGCTCTAGTTCGTGGTATTTTTTACCTGCTTAATAGAAACTAACATATAAATTTTAAGCTTATCCGACGAGAAATAAATATGACTGCTGATTTTTGGTCAAGTCCATTGGCGACATCAATGGTGAACTCTTGACAATTGGCAGTTCTCCACCTAATTTTCATGAGATTTTGGATTGGAATATGGTAGGATCTCCTCGTATCCGTCTTTGTAACTTTGCCTAACGTTTGTGTTTACGCTCATTTGAATTAGAAAAAAAAAACGAATTCTAACAAACAAAAAAATGATAACGTCAACCTTATCTACTTTCAAATCCTCATACTAATCAAATCAACAATCGATCATTCTGTATACTGTTATTATCTTTTTCACAGAAGATTATTAGCTAATATTAACAAACTATCCAAGTACTCAAACAATAAGACTGTAAAGAATTTCGTTCCAAGTATCTGGAACTCCGGCTAAACACCAATGGCTGCAATCCATCCCGTTCGCCGCTCCTGTCCCATATATCGACGGATGCCCGTCTTTCCGAAGCAATGACAACATTGTTATATCGAGCAACGTGACACCCTTTCTCACTGTGGTCAACACCTTCTTCAGCACACCTAAAGCTGGTGGAACACCATCGGGATAGGTTGAGCTAAGTAATGGCTGCGTTTGCCCTAAACAACTCCTCGCCTTTTGTTCGTTTCACGAAGATGCACTGAAAATAACGGAATAAAAAAATTAAATTCGATTCGAGTTGGAGAGTTTTGACGTCGAAAACTGTGGTTTGTTAGGGTTACTTGTAATGTGATGGAGAAATTCCCTGGAAGAAGACGCGAGATTTTGAAGGATTGATGTTGGCATTCACCCATGCAGCCCATGTTCTGAGTGCGGCTTCGAAAGCAAGCATACGGTCCATGTCTTTCTTAATTACGCCTCCTACTTCAATAACATCCCACCTGGAAAGTTTATTTTAATACATGCGTTATAATATTTTAATTATATATATATATAATGTATTTATGTTCAGGGATTCAAATAACTGTCCACTACTAATATCCATAATGCCCATAAAATATTCACTATTGTTGTAATCGTAACAAACATAAGGCAATAAAAAACATAATCGTAATTATAATTTAAATCTAGTATGGAAGTATATTATGAAACATACGGTTGCGTGGGTCCACGACGACTCCACCAATGCCAAGTGTTGAAGATAAGCAAGTCAATTCCTTTCCATAGCTGGCCTCCTTCAATAGAGTCAAGTTTCAATACCCTCCCAATCTTTTCCTTGACAACATCTACTAGAAACAAATTTCGATCAAGCATCACCTTCACTCCATAATCCTGCAACAAAGCCAATTTTCTCAAATTATTATGATAAATTGTTCGTAAATCGTTTGTATAATGTATGTTTATGTCAGTTTATTAAGCTAAATATATGATTATGAATAAAAATTTTATGTTCCTTTAATAAATGGACACAAACAAATATGTGTTCAGCTTGTTTATGTTTACGAAAACATTTGTTTGGAAACTCGTTTATCGACCCTGTTCTCATTTTACTTTTAATTTTTTATATTTTAAATATGGGTAATGATGGGACTAAATTGAAAACAAGATAAACTTTGGAGTTCAAATTATAAAGTCTAGAGAGTTTAAGAATTAGTGACATAATTTCTCTATTTTTCTTTGGCTTGCAGATTAAAAGTGAAAAGAGAGAGTTGCTTATAACATTAAGCAAACAGCAACATGTTTACGAATGATAAATGATATGAAAACGAATATATTACTAAAAAAATAAATAAACGGACACAAACTGAGCATTAATACTTTAAAAAATAAGACGAACACAAACACGGTCTTGATCGTTTAAATCCGACACATTTACACCTATTACATGAATAAAGATGATCGGTTTTACGGACCTGGAATTCGAATGTGGAGAGATCTGCAACTCTAGTAATGTTGAATGTGGCATTAGGAAGTGCAGAGTGAAGCATGCATGTCAAGGATTGCCATTGATTTAGACTCAGAGAATCTCCCACAAACATTATGCTCTTCCCTCTGAACTTCTTTAGGAAGTTCAATGCATCGAACCTACAACAAAAAGAAAAATAAATTGTAAATAAATACATATTATCCTAACTTGTTCGTATGCGTGTGTGTGCGTCGCGCGCGGAGTTGTACCTTGTGACGGAGCACCGAGACGGCTGCCACCGGTATCGAGTGTAAAGCAGATCCCGGCGTCCGTTTTTCTGACAACTGAACCCTCTTTCAATGAAAGGACAAGCCGAGGCATTGTAGAGAGGGTAAGATGGATCATAAACCCATCTGCCTGTGAACAAATCGCACCCATTTGCCAGCTTATTGCAGCAAAAAAGAGCCAAAACCATGAAATGGTATGAAGAAATGAGGACAATGGAATCAACCCAATGTCCCATTTTGGCCTGTTAGGCAACCTCTCTGAACTGGAAATCAAAGAAACAAAGATCACAGACAATTCTTATGTGTTGTTCGTAGTGATTGAGGACTTGAGCAATGTTATTTTGGTCGTTGTAATGACTATCAGCTGTTGGTACCGATGATGGAGAACTACTTTGGTCCTTGTAATCACTATCAGCTGTGGGTACTGATGATGGGGAACGTTAGAACTATAAGATATGGATTACTAAACGGTGATCTTTATATACATAGCCTTGGGATAGAAGAAAAGATTGTGTACATTGGAATTCAAACTACAGATTTATCGGATAAAATCTTTAAAGGTGGTTAAATGAATTTACATGCTTATTTATGTTTCTACACTTGTATCCTATATATTTGAACTACCAAGATTGCAAATAGAATTCCTCTGCCCCCTATGGATGCTACTTTGGTGCCTCATCAATAGCATATTGACAAGTGGATTATTCTAATAATACATTTAATATATTTTTGATGTGACTAAACCCACCGTTAAACCACTAAAAAAGGAATTAAAAGAACAATTAATAAACTTATCCTAAAAAGGCAAGAAAGGGAAAAATGAAAAGTTATGGCTTAAATGTCCCCATTGCCCTCAACTATATCACTTGTATTGAATTGTCTCCTAAATTATTTTTTGGGGACGTTTTGTCACTTAACTATAGATTGTACATGTTTGTCCCAAACTGTTAGCATAGTTAAAAACAAAATTCACACATCAATTAGAACACATCACATCACATCACATGTTAATTTTTATTTTCTTTATTTAAAAAAATAAATAATAAATAATAAAATAAAATAGAAAATACCCAAAATACCCCTCTTCTCTCTTCCCCAATATTTACAAAGGCTTAAATGCTTGTGTTTCAACAAAGATAAGACGTTGCTTTACTCGGGTTCTTGGGATAAAACATTCAAAGTTTGGAGAATTTCGGATTCGAAATGCTTGGAATCGGTTCGAGCTCACGACGATGCAGTTAACTCCATTGTTGCAGGGTGTAATGGCTTAGTGTTTAGAGGCTCAGCTGATGGATCGGTGAAGGTTTGGAGAAGAGAGTTAGAAGGGAGAGTGACCAGCCATTTACGGTCCTATTAAGTGCTTGGCAATCGAAAAGGATCATGAATCAACATCCGGTGAAAACGAGTGGATTCTTTACAGTGGTAGCCTAGATAAGTCTGTCAAGCTTTGGCGGATAACGGACCAAACTCCGCCGACACAAAGCCCCATCGACACCGATTCATCAGAATAGTCCTTTAGTAAGCGACGGTGAAGAGCACCGGTCCTCGGGGCTCGAGTCTCTACTCGATCTCAAATTATGGCCTAATCTACTTAGATTTGTATTGTTAACTTCTACTGGATACTTAGGTGGGAAGTTGTTTTTATACCGCGTTTACTAATATCGGTAATTAATAATAATAATAAAATCGGTAAAAATAATAATGTTTCTGATATTTTTTACCGATTTTATTATTTAAAATAATAATAAAACCGATAACGTTTTTTTTAACTGTATATTAAGGCTACCAAAGATTGGAGAAATGTGATGGTTGATCTTTTCCTTCTACCAAAGACCCAAACTTCAGTTCAAAAATACCACCCGACTTTTGTTTAATATTTAAAAAATAAATTTTATAATAAAATAGTAAAAAAATATTAATTCCAATTGAAAAATTAAAAAGTTAAATCATTTTTCCTCTCTTCCCCGTCACTCTCTTCCCATTCTGAAAATTTTCAAGGAACCCTAATAAGTAAATCGTTTGCCTGAATCTAGAAAGCCTGTAAGAAAACCCCATGGAATAAGTAAATCGGCACTGGTTGAGGTCTCTCTCTCTCTTCCTTGTTCCCTTCTATTTGTATTTTCGGGTGCCAGGAAAACCAATTTTCTATACTTATTTTTACATACAGGATACTGCTTCTGCCGCAGAAATTCAAGGTTCTCGAAAAATTAATGGTAATCATATCAAAATCTCAAAGCACATAACTATTATCAATGAGGAGTGCCAAATACTTCTACTGATGCACCAGAAGAGACTTATCATGTAAAGCATGAATCTCAAGGTGATATTCCCTTTTCTGGTCCGTTCCAAGTTTCTTCATCGAGTGGCTTTGCGTGGGCCAAAAGACGAAAAGATGATGCATCCTCAAGATCACTTAGTAGATCTATCTCAAGGGGTCACATTTACGAATCTTTTGATCCTTCCGCTCAATTACATACAAACGATAACATTGATTCAGATCACCATGAAAATGGGATTGTAACATATGGAGATCGAACGGATTCTAGAGGACATGATTCGTATGAAGCTGCCATGCGTGCTATGCAGAAACAATGGAGCCAGTTTGAACACCCAGATCCATTTGATGCTTCTGACGAATACCACTCACAAGAGCTATCGTTGGCACTTTATCGAAGAGACGGAATGTTGGCCAACAGAGTGAAGGGGAAGAGAAAATGATTTAGGGTGAGTTTGGTTCACAGAATGTAAGATTATCTTCGGGAATAAGATTATCGGAATGTAACATTACCTAACACATTACTGAGAATGTTATATTATTGTGTTTGGTTTGTTTGGCAGTAATGTAAGATTACAGTGTTTGATTGAAGGAATAAAATATTATTAGAATGTATATTTTACCAAATTGATCTTGTTTTATATTTTTTAACAAGTGAAATTCTAATTATTTAAATAAAAATTATTTATATAAAAAAATCATCGATAATATATATAAATAAACATTATTTATATAAAAATTCATCGATGATATATTATTTTATTATTTAAATATATAATGTATTATTTTAATTTTAATTAATATTAAATTTTACATAATTAATCTAAAAATATATTAAAATTTTACTTTAACATTTAACTAAATGTTCAATATTAGAGATTTTTAACTTTCAATATGATATTGAATCGACCACGACAATGATTCCGTTGGGTAATGTTTTCCACACAAAATAGTTGCTGGGAGCGTCTTGATATCGGTACCATCCCTAATGATATCGATACTACCTGCATAAAATTCAAATATTTTGACCGTTTGAAATAAACAGTATCGATACCATCCAAGGAGTATTGATACTTTTATATATAGTCGTATCGATACCAGACAATGATATCGGTACCATTTTGAGATTCTAGAAAATTTTGGAGTCAAAATCAAAGGAGTAGTATTGGTACTACACTTGTAGTATGTTTTGACAATAATTGGGTGGACCCGCTAGAAAGTAATCCTCCATGGATTTGGTTGCATTTTGTAAAGTATGTTTTGACAATAATTTGCATCAAAGAACAGACCAATTGCAATACAAATACCTGTCGAAACAATCAAATGGGTATGTACAAAAGCCTTAATACTATTTGCAGCAACAAATTTACAAAAATATCAATCCAAAACCACAATCAAGAATTATTCTGCTTTGGTTCTTTATTTTTCTCATATGTACAGGGATGCGAAACTCCAGGCACCCTTCAAATACATCTGAATGCTTAAATATATCAAACATTATGAATTGGACACATCATCCATTTATGAAATTCACACCCGAACCCCAGTAAGATAGTTCATGAATGCACCTTAAGACAGCAACATAAGAATACTATCAACAATGGCAATTTAACTATGGCAATGGATCAATTATAAACCTGAACTTAAAAATAGATGTGAAAGAAGACTAATCAATTCAACCAACCCCTACGCAACGTATGAACAAACAAACATCTTCATGAGTTCTTATTCCGTGTACCTCCAAACTCTGGCAGATTTTGAGGTGTTCTAAAGTAAAATTAGAACCTAAAAAGATATTTTGATTAATCTGAAAAATAAACAGTGTAATTTATCAAAGCCAGTAGTCTAATATTCCATAATATCTGACTATACTAACTGTTGCTAATAACACAAAAAGCAACCAACTCTCTGAAAACAGTAAAACAACATCTAATACTAAAGAGCTAGAAAAAGAAAAATGACAGTGTTCATACTAATAATTATTTTAAGCTTTAAATAAGTAGCAAATTAATGAAAAATATCAATGATTACTAATCAATGAAGAAGGTGACCTTAATGATAAACCAAACTGTTTCAATCACATCAAGTAAGAACATCAGTAAACCTCATCACCCAACAGCTTTAACCTGAAGCAAATAGAAGATCAACAAAAACAACTTACAGATTCAGAGCAGAGGGTGTTAACGAAGTTAATAATTGGACTAGGTCTAGGCAACAATAAAGACATTGGTTTGCGACATTCACTTTGATGATGCATACAAGTTTACAGTAATTTAGTAATTTTTTCTTTCAGTAACATAAGTCATTTCTTCAAGTTTCTACAGACTCACCTCATCCCCTGCAGTTCCGTCATCCGTATGCGGCAAATGAAAATTAGCAGCCATCATCACACTTCTAGAATCAGAAATCAGGAGATTCCCATGTTTCACCTGACTATGAAAGGAATGTCACTATGCAAGGTATTCAAGAATCATGCTGCAAGGTGTTATGCTCCATGAATACCTAGCATTTCTTCATAGAACAAGGCGATAACTGTCGCTCTTTACGTTGTCCATTCAATAAAAGACCCCTCCTAGTATGACAATTTTTTTCTCATTGATCATTAGATCACTTGTAATTCAACCTTTTCATATACAAAGGATTGCAACATGAGAGATAAGCAAGAAGAATATTTCCACACTGGCTAGAGTTGTTGCATCTTTTAACTGCTGGAAGAGAAGATAGTTTTCCTTTGGAGCAAGGACGAGGTTTGCCCCATTGACGTAGACTGCAAAATCTTACTTGTCTATAATAAAACTCTTATATAAGGGAAAAAGACGAATCACAATTAAACAAAAAGATAAGTTTGTACATAGAAAAGTTGAGATAATGCAGTATATGTTGTAGTAGTCTCACTTGCACATGTCAAATAATTCCACTAATGATGGATATATAGAGATCAAAGTTGTGCATATTTTCATTATCTCTAGTATCTTTGAAGTGTTGATTTTCACTGTGAATTTTTAAGATTCTAAAGCAAGACAATTACTGTGGAAGAATTAAGCATTATTCGGTAGGGTCTTTTGTTCAAGATCAAGAAACAATGAAGTCTATTAATGGTTGTTGCATTACATTACTCGGCCAAATCAAATTTAAAACAAAAACAAATATAAAATTGTTCTGAAATTGTGAATTGTTGAGGTAATTTTCATCATTCTTACAACATAAAAAAATTCACTTCCCACTGCTATTCTTTCTCCTCTCATTGCATGTCTTCAAAGCCTGAACCTCTGCAAAATAAAAAATTAAGGGGGAAAAAACAGAAATTTGGTCAAAGAGCCAAGTTAATTAAGTGGGTTTTAATAGAAACGGGAGAATCAAAGGATTAAAAGCATACCCATTTGACAAGTTTCCAATTTTTGTTGCTCTTAACAAGACAATCCTGTAAAAAGGAGAAAAGAAAGAAGCTGGGGTATAACTAAGGTTTAGCGTATGGTTCAAAGAATAAAAAGAGAAGGGGGGATTTTATTAACTTGCAAGGATAAGTACAGAGCAGAGCATTCCTTCAGCTGCTTCACATTCTCATCATCAGTGGTGGCGTCTTCGTGGAGCACCACAGAAGAAGAAGTTTGTTGGACAAGTAATGGAATCTCCTCGCAACAACTCTCGCCAAATTGAAGAAGAAGAAGATTTTGTTTCAGCCAGAAGCAAGCAGGGAGAAGGGTAATTTAGACAGCTGGGACGGGAATAAGAAAATACCTAAGGGAGACGGGGGACTAAGATTCTCGGGGAAACAGGAAAAAATAGCACTGTTGGTATTGGTTTTTTACTGGCATTTGGGAATGTTACCCCATCCAAACGTGGGTATCTTTCGGAAAAATATTCCTCTCAGGAATGAAATATTCCGTGAACCAAACGAGGCCTTCATGTTAAATCCATAATTTTTCCTCAAGTGTTGTCTCATTGTCTTTCTGTGCTTTATGATTCAGTTTCGGATGAGGAAATCCACCAGGTTGTGTTTAATATGGATCCCACGAAGGCCCCCAGGTATTGATGGGTTTCATGTTTTCTTCTTAATTTAATTTGGTGTTCGGATACTCCCTGAGGTTTCATACTTGAACAAACCAAGTGAAATTCTATCAAATGCTTATGTGAACTCTCACTAGGAAGGTTGTGAAAGGTAGGAAGTAGATGTATCAACCCCGTCTTGAGTTGAAACGATGTTTCACCTTGAGGGAAAGTGATGTAAAAGGGTTGTTGTACCAAAAGAGTTACGGCTAGTTTTTGAATGGTTTGATCGCCTATTAGTCCTGGAGGTTGTATGCTCTACATGTGCTCTATTTCGATTGGATTAATTTCTTCGGGTGTGTGATCAGCTTCGATTGGATTGATGGATTGAGATTCGGTAGAGTCTTCTTGAGAGGTAGTGTTGATTTCATCAAGATTGGATCGTTATTGTCGTTTCTTTTTCTTGTCTCGGAGCGTTTGACCGTGAATTCGTCTAGCCCGCGCTTCGATTTCATAATCAAATTCTTCTAATGAGCCCAAATTTTTCCTATCGTAAATCAAAAACAAGAAAATTAAATCAATGTTCTACCATAGTCCCCGACAACGGTGCCAATTTGACAACACGTCGTTTTGATGTCAAATAAAGTTTAGCCTAAATCTCAATAAAAGAATATGAAAGATAGTATAGAGAGAGTAAGGGTCGATCTGCAGGGACTAGGAAGTTGACAAATTCCTTGCTTTTGATCTTAATTCTGGCGTGATTTGCAAAGAAAGAAAAAAAATGGGTTTTGAGAGTTGAGATAAAGATAATATTTGATTCAAAGAAAATAAATTAAGAAGATTAAAGTGAAAATACAATTGATGAAAAAATTAGCCTTAAGCTAAACCTTTTGCCTCAATTTAAATCGATAATTGAATAGGATTTTACCTTATGGCTTACACCGGTTACAATCTAAAGGCCCAACCCCTGTAACTTATTTTCTCTCAAATGAATCGAGCATCTAAAATCAATTTTTAGATCTCAACTCTTTCTAAATTAATTGCCACAATCGTTTACTAATTCAGCACCTTTAAATTCTTGAAAACCCCAACTCGGATTGTACCGTCTCAATTGAGAATCTAACCCGATTTTAGTTTCCCTTAGCGGACCGCCCCCAAGTGTGTTTACAGGAAGTCGAATGTGCCACAGGCCAATCCTTCCTCCCAACTATTAATAGAAACTGAAATTCAATTCCAACATGCACTTTTTGAAATTAAATTGCTTTGATTGTGAAGGATGTTTGATTATCAATCCTTGATTTTCGAAAACTGAGAATTTAACCCTGAAAGGTATGATGTGCTTTTCAATTCTCATTATTGGAATTGAGTCATCGCTTTAACCTTTAACTTTGGAAAACTTAGCTAAGCATGATAGAAATCATGCTTAGCGTCTTTGATAAAAGAAATCTTTAAAATAAAATCTAAAGAAAGCGAAGTAAAAAAAGAGAAATGTTATAAAAAAAACTAAGAACTAGAAAAAGAAGAAAATGCGATACAAGTGATGATTTGAGCTTACTCGGTGGGGTATTTATAGCTTCCTAAAACCCTATAATTGTAAAAGAAATGTTTAAAACATAATTCCAAAAATATTCAAATTTTAATCCTAAAGATAATTCTTAAAAACAAGAAATAAATCCTAATTTCAAAAGATAATTCTAATTTGAATCTTGAACTTGTGGCTGAGTCTCATATTTCCATGAAATTGCCGATTGGACCTTCTAGAAGCTGCTGACTAGATGTCACGTCAGACGCGTCATGCCCCAATTCATGCCCACTAATCCAACCATGACTCCAGAAAATAAAAAATTTACAATAATTCGTGTCTTTTAGCACTTTTTCTGGAAACAATTATTCTGCACAAAAAATGCATGAAAACGATCAAATTAGCAACTTAGAATAACTAATCGAGGAGTAATTAACCACAAAATAATGCATAATTTAAGCACTAATCAGATCTATTTATGTATGTCATTGCTTCAAGTACTCGTGCTCTTACTTATCAGGCTATCAATAGTCGTTCATTGTTATATTTTACTTTTGATAGTTATAAATGTATCTGTCCAGTAAATATTTGGCAAGATGTCGTTGATGGTACTTTTCTTGACTAATCAATATATCTTGATACTATTTAAATAATAATAATTTTCCGAACGTGCTTAAGTGTGCCATATCTTTCGATTTAAGAGATTGAAAATCTGAACGGTTTAAATGTTATATAGAAAAAAAAATCATGTAAACTAATGTATAATATTGAATTTTCCTATTCTAATGTATATCCTAATCTAATGTATAATATGGTTTAATAGGAAAATTATCACAAAACTATTGAAGTAAACATGCTTTTAAAATATTTTCATCATATTAAATATTTATAAAAATATCAAATATAAACTTTAAGTATATAAAAGTTTTTATGAAATCGATTCATTTTTTAAGTATATAAAAGAATCAATGAAATCGATTCATTATTTTTGAGTGAGTTTATTCATTTATTTATTTTTATTATTTTTTTAACGATTCTATATTTACAACTGATATCCAAAATAAAAATGATGAATTAAGGATTAATAATGTAATTTATAAATAAATAAATATACTAATCACATTAAAAATATCAACGTTAGGGTACCAATAATAATCCGAAAAAGCCAAACACTGGTCAACTTGGGAAAACGTCAATAATATTCACAGAAAATGAGATGCCTAAAACCAGTTAACTTCGAAAACATCAAATTTAACAAACATCTGTCGTTTTGCATGGTGGTCCAATGGATCTCACATGGAGTAGTGTAGTATTCTTAGATAATATCCCATCATCAAATAGCCAAAATTCATTCACTAAACAACAAAGGCATCCCTAACATTTCAGCTGTCTATTCATATTATATTTCAGTAGATCATATATCCTTGTCCTCGCATGCAACAAAAACAACACAAGAAAACCAAAGAAATGAAATCAAGAAACAAAATGTAGGTTGTCTTGTTTTTCAACACCAAGATCACAACTTGATTAGTTACACAACAAGAACATAAAATTTTATGTTGAGAGAGCGAAAACAGATTATCAATAGAAAATATGAAGAAAATACTTAAATTATGTGAGAAATTTAAATTTTTAGAAGACGGCTACCTATCAACTCTTTGATTCATCCCTAAATTTCAACGAGAGCGACGAGTAACTCGGTCGTAACTAGGTGTTGTGTTAGGCCTTGGAAGATGAACTAGTGATTCCAAAACTGTACAAGTTCTTTTACAAGAGGAGCAAAGATTAATGAATCCGAACCTGTCACTGATACTCCTTGTTACCTTAATTCCAGTCCAGATATTGCTTGCAGATTGCTCGTTGGTATCATCCTTGGAACATTCCATCATTGCCGCGAAAAACGGATCCGTACGGAGACTCTCAGCGGCAGCTCCGGATGCTTTTTCCGGGCTAAAATGTCCTCAAAATCGTTCTTTTTCAAGGTCGATGGAGTTGCTGGAGGAGGTAATGGTAGCAACTTTGTGGACTCTTTCTTCTTGTGATTTTGTAGCTTCTTAGGAACCCCTGGCGAATGCTCCCAAGAGAATGGTACACCCGAAAATCGGAGCGGAGTAGCGGGACTGAGAGGCGAATCTCCCGGGATAAACGAAGATCCGAGTGAAGATGACGATGATGATGAACACGAGCAAGGTGTTCGTCTAGAGGAATGGTATTTGGCTGCCGGAACTATGGTATCACAATCTTTCGATGCCATTTGTTCACGGCCACTCTTAGTTGATGTGGTATCCATTGTTGTAGAGTAAAAGGGAGATTATGGTGTTATATGATTCCTTTTAATTTCTTTTAATTTTAGGGAAAATTAAACCCATGACCACATGATTATCGGAGATTTTAATTTGACTATTAAACTTTTCATTTTATCTATCAAATCACTTAAATATTTAAATTCATTTTTAAAATCATCAATAATTGCACAAATAAGCTTATTAGAAACTGCACTAACAATATCTTTTTGTACCGTCAGTAATGTTAGTTTAAAATTACCATAAATATTTTTGAAAACTTTATTAATAGTTTTATTATAAGTAATAAGAAACTTCAAAAACTCTAAAACGTTATATTAATTATAAAAATAACGAGACTCATAATATCCACGAAAAATCAATCCTTGTTATAAAATAAATCAAACACAATCAACTCTAATTATAAGATGAGTATGACATTTTTGTTGGACTTGATTAGATTATTTTGTAACGATAACTTCAACATGTTGTTTATGATTCATTAGAGGTTCATATTTTTTCAAAGTTACATTATGAGCACTATTAAGACCTCTAACATGAAGTTGCAGTCCGCTCTTATTTTTTAATTCTAAAATCCATCAGCAGCAAACATATCACCTCCTATTCTCTCTTCTAAATTCAGGTTTCATAAAGTAACAATGTAAATAAAATATTGCATCCTTTGGATACATTTTATTCTAACTAACCTCTATATTCTTCGAACCACTTATGATTGAAATTGTAATTTATCAGTGGGGGGCAATTCCTCCAACTTTGGGTGGCTTAACCAATTTGGAAATTTTGAGTTGTACTTCAAACCAAATCACTAGTTTCATCCCATCAGAATTAGGAGACATGAAAAGTTTGGTTGCATTACATCTCGGTGAGAATAAGTTGAAAGACCGGATCCCTTCATCAATATCAATTTGGAGGATTTTAAGCTTGATTCAAATCTTTTGTGAGGTCCAATCCCTCATGAAAGACCGGTTCCCTTGAGCCAAATGTCACAAAAAATGGAGATTTATTCTCAATCTGGGACTTTGATGGAAGAATTGCGATCGAAGACATCGTTGAGACGACAAACGACTTTGACATCCGGTACTGTATCGGCACCTGAGGTTATGGTAGTGTTTATAGAGCACGTTTACCATGTGGAAACATTGTTGCCTTAAAGAAACTTCACCGCAGAGAAGCAGAGGTCCCAGCTTTTGAGAGGAGTTTCAAGAACGAGGCTAAAATGTTATCTGAAATATGACACAAGAACATCGTGAAGCTTCATGGATTTTGTCTCCATAATCGTTCATGTTCTTGATTTATGAATACATGCCCCGAGGAAGCTTATTTTATGTCTTCATAGACGATACGGAAGCAGTGGAGCTGGATTGGATCAAAAGAGTAATGTAATCAAAGATACAACATGCTCTTTATCTTATCTGCATCATGATTGCCACCCACCAATAGTTCATCGATACATATCAAGCAGCAACATTTTATTGAACTAAAATTTTGAGGCTGGAGTCTCAGATTTCGGCACCCCTAGACTCCTCGATCCTGATTTATCCAATCAAACAATGATGGTTGGTACCTACGGATAAGTTGCATCAGGTAAAGTTTCACTTTGGACTTTTTATTTTAACCATCATATCTAATTAAGGTTGAGTATATGCCTTCAAGTTTTTGAACCATAATAAACTACTCAAATGCTTGTGGCTAAAGATAAGTAGGGGATTACATACAAAACACCATGGCTTTCAAGTGTCGAAGTTCTAGTTCTGTAAAAACTGATGTTTGCCGATCTTTCAAATGATTCTAATAACTGTTTTTAATTGTAACCCTTTTGCTGTTGGTCGCAGAACTTGCTTATACCATGGTTGCAACTGAAAAATGTGATGTGTATAGCTTTGGAGTGTTGGCACTTGAGATATGTTGACTATGCACCGAAAGGTGCAATGGATTTGTCAAAAAAATCAGCTTGATATTGTTGAATTTTGTAAATGGTAAAAATGTTAATTTAGTCATTGTACTTTAGGGTATTTATAAGATTAGTCCTTAAACTTCAACTATAAATACCCTAGCTCATTTAGCTTCAAAACCATCCCAAATCATTCTAGATTTCTCCCAGTACTAGAGAATTTAGAGAGTTTCTTGAGAGTTGTTTTCTCTTTTTTATCAAGAGATAATTATCATTGTTTTTTCCTTGGTAGATCGAGAGAAATTGTAATTCATATTTTCTCATAGTGAAATTCTTCTACCGTTGCCCGTGGTTTTTACCCTATATTATTTAGGAGTTTTCCACGTAAATTTTGTGTCTCTTTTATCTTCATTTTTATTTTCTCAAATTATCAGTTGTGATTTTGCTCTATCTGATAGTCGTCTTCCACAACAATTGGTATTAGAGCCAGATTTGAGTGTGTAATATCTGCTTATTGTCTTTGTGGTTGTCACCAAAAGGTGGATCCTCCAACATAAGAATGTAAGAAGTATTACCCATTCTTTGAAGGTTCCAGAGAACTATTCACGATAGTGAAATAGTGGGAGCTATACGTAATATGAGCTATCCGTAATAGAAGCTATGACAACGAAATTTAATATTGAAAAATTCAATGGGAGAGATTTCTCATTGTGGAAATTGAAGATGAAGGTTATCTTGAGGAAAGACGGTTATCTAGCAGTTATTAGTGAAAGGCCGGTAGATTTCACATATGACAACAAATGGATCGAAATGGACGGGAATGCTATGGCAAACTTTCATCTAGCATTAGAAGATGAAGTATTGTCAAGCATCGAGGAGAAGAAGACAACTAAGGAGATATAAGATCATCTCACCAAATTGTATGAGGTCACATCGTTGCACAATAAAAAAAAAATTAAAAGAAATTTGTACACTCTCCGTATGCTAAAATCTACTTCAGTGACTGAGCACTTAAACACGCTAAACACTTTATTTTCTTAGTTTACATCCTTAAGATGTAAAATAGGAGAACAAGAACGTCTAAACTTCTACTTCAAAGTCTACCTGATTCATATGATCAACTCATCATCAACTTGACAAACAATAATGTCACCAGTCTAGTCTTCGATGATGTTACAGCTGCTGTTCTACAAGAAGAAAATCGGCGCAAGAACAAGGAAGACAGACAAGTAAATCTGCAACAAGCAGAAGCGTTGACAACAATGAGAGGGAGATCAACAGAACGTTGCCAAAGCAGTAGTCACAAACATGGTAGATTGAAGTCGAGATGCAAAAATAATTTAAAGTGCTACAACTATGGAAATAAGGGTCACTTGAAGAAGGATTGTTGGAGTCTAAAAAAACTCCAATCCACAAGGCAATACCGCAAACACTTCAGATGATGGAGATGCTCTATGTTGTGAAGCGTCAACCACCGTGGAAGGCAGAAAAAGATTTGCAGATATATGGCTCATTGATTTGGGAGAAACATATCACATGACCTCAAGAAGAGAATGGTTCCATCATCATGAACCTGTCTCAGGAGTATTTGTGTATAATTGCAATGATCATGCCTTAGAGATCGTTGGCGTGGGGACCATCAAATTGAAGATGTATGATGGAACAATTAAAGTTGTTCAAGATGTACGGCACGTGAAAGGCACGAAGAAAAATTTATTATCCTACGGATTGTTGGATAATAATGTAAGCAAGATTGAAACACGAAAAGGAATCATGAATGTCTTCCGCAAAGAGCTTGTGGTGCTGAAAGGCGAAAAAATAGCTGCAAACTTGTACATGCTGAAGGGAGAGACTTTGCTAGAAGCATAAGCCTATGTTGCCTCATGTAGTTCAGATTCTACAATGCTATGGCATCAGAAACTTAGACACATGTCAGAACAAGGAATGAAAGTCCTTGTGGAGCAAAACCTACTTCAAGGCCTAACAAATGTATCAATTACTTTGTGTGAGCATTGCATAGCAAGTAAGCAGCACCGGTTGAAATTCAACACATCAAATTCTAGAGCCAAAAGTGTTCTAGAATTGGTTCACTCTGACATATGGCAAGCACCAGTTACATCCATAGGTGGAGCAAAATACTTTGTCTCATTTATTGATGACTACTCCAAGAGATGTTGGATGTACCCTATTAAGAAGAAATCAGATGTGTTTTCCACTTTCAAAAGCTTCAAAGCACGATTGGAACTTGATTCTGGAAATAAGATCAAGTGTTTCAGAATAGATAATATAGGAGAATACACAAGTGAAGAATTTGATGACTTTTACAGGAAAAATGCATCAAAAGACAGTTCACAGTGGTGAATACTCCTCAACAAAATTGAGTGGTAGAGCGGATGAACAGAACCTTGTTAGAAAGAACAAGAGCAATGTTGAGGGATGCATGCCTAGAAAAATCATTTTAGGCAGAAGCTGTCAATACCGCCTATTATTTGGTGAATTGAGCTCCATCAACTGCAATAGACTCAAGACACCAATGGAGACGTGGACTGGTAAACCAGCTGATTATTCAAACCTCCATGCATTTTGAAGTATTGTGTACGTGATGTACAACTCCCAATAAATTTCAAAGTTGAATCTAAAATCCAGGAAATGCAAATTCTTGGGGTATGCTGATGGAGTAAAGGGGTATCACTTGTGGGATCCCACTGTCCGCAAAGTGATCATAAGCAGGGATGTTATCTTTGTAGAAGATGAGCTACAAAGAAAAAAAGACGATGATAGCGCTGAAAAGTCAGAGACTACACAAATACATATGTAAAACGAGTTTGAACAAGAAGATTCTTCTGAAGCAAAACCATCACATTATGAACAATAACCAGAGAGTTCTGAAGCTCCAACAACTCGTTAATCAGATCATGTGAGAAGACATCCCAATTGGCACTCAGATTATGTTATAGAAGGAAATATTACATACTATCTTTTAACATATGAAAGTGAGCCATTAACATACCAGGAGGCAATAAACAGCTTAGATGCTTCACTATGGATGATGGCGATGTAAGAAGAAATTGAAACCCTTCATAAAAATAATACATG